ACTGAGAAATCCTTAGGTACAGAAATGGATTGAATCACACACAACAAGAAGCAGAGAGAGATCGAGATTGAGACTGAATCAGAACAAAAGGCAAATGTTGTGTCCTTGTATTGGAATTTTTATATTATAGTATAAAAATAATTTTATAAATATTATAGATAAAATTATTTATTATATGTATTTTGGTTGATTTGTATCATTTACAACTCTTATATAATATAAAATAACATTAAACAACATTTAGGGGAAATCCGGTCATTTTAACAGTTTTGTCATGTCTTGTCCAGCTTACCAAATGCAAGACAGACAATTAGTCCTGTTTGGTTCTACTCGTAGGACAGACAATTAGTCCAGTCTTGTCCCATCCCGTCCAGTCCTATCCCATCCAATCTGAAGTTCAAAAACTAACAGAAGAACCAAACATAGAAAATGAGTCTCTAGAAAATCATACTAATCCTCTATGGAGATCACTAAAGAAGGGAGATTACAATCTATAAAGTTGGAATAATGGTTGAATGGGGTGAAATAGGTTACATGAGCTCTAATCGACACTAAACCTCAATGACACAGGGGATGAGCTAGGGAGAGAAGGGTTAAGATTGGAACCTAATTTTAGCAAATGACCGGAAGAGACAACAAAGTCTGCCAAAGTCACATATAAGGTCACAGACGTCAACTGAAACTCTCACAAGGATCAAACCAGAGGACTGGCCGACATTAGACACATCAAAAAGCAGAAGACATATAAGTCAACCCCACTCATGACATGTTCTAGAACATTTCAACATTCTAATTGAAGCACCTTCATATTGGGAAAGGACTCCTACTCACCACCTTAGACTCTTGTGGAAGACATTAATAAGGATAGGCATCCTACTAGTCATGCTTGAACGTCCTAATATATCTTCGGATATACTGACATATTCACCAAAACAATGGAAGCATTCCTAGATACCATAAGAATACATGCGCACTTCCCTAAAATATTTCCTCAAATACTCTAGCATACATACCTGCCACTTCCCACAATTGGTTAACCAGTCTGCGATCTCTTAGGATGTCAATGACTACTCTTATAAATTTTCTAGTAAACAACGGCTAACATTGACAACGGCACGTAATACACAAAGTAGATAAAAAAGGCCTCTTGTTAATATACAAAGAAACTGGCCACCAAATCATCGTCCATTAACCAAATGAAATACTTGAATTGTATCAAATAGAGCTAGAGGACTCCAAATTTGGATGTCAAACATCATGTTGAACTAATGTAGGCACTCAGACCTTCCACTACCAAGGGCTCAATAAGACAAAAGAGTGTTTCACATACTATACTTTATTATCTCAAGCACGAAGTAAATAAAGACTCAACATCATTCTCATCAAGCCCTTTTAGGGAAGGAGGTTAAGCAAACACGATGGTCACACCAAATGTCCAAATCCTCATAACATTTTAAGACAAGAAAATATTGTATTATATGGAGTTGGATCAAGGACAAACAACTATTGAAACACTTCGCATAGACACAACCCGAATAGATGCATGTACTAAGATCCTAAAGTGCACAAAGATTGGGATATGGCGGCATAATAATTCAATTCCATCATAAGTTATTAGTTCCAAAGTAAGAGGATTTCAAAAACATAAAAAGATGAACAATTGAGAAGGGATGGAGTTAGAAGAATGGCCCTCCCCATGGACACCGATTATGAAACTACTTACCAAGGTCGTTTCTTGAATGAAGAAAAGCATTAAAATAAGTGAAGATAACTACCAAAAAAAGTAGGATGGTGATATCAATTCATGATATGGCGAAGTTGGTGGAGACACAAAAGTAATATGTGATAGGGAAACTGCTCAGCAGCAATCTCATATTGAACAAATATGAACTAACAATTTCTACCAAGCCAAAAAAGTCCAACTTCTAACTCTAGTTAATATACAATCTAATTAGTACTGTAGCAGCTACCTTAATATTATATCTCCTTCAGGAACTGCAGCTACTTCCACCCCAACATGCAGCTCTGTTGACTGCTATATTATCAGCAAATCAGCAATCTCTCATGTCACACTACAAATTTGGATCTGGAGAGGCTAACATGATTGCCAATTATAAACACCCTTTTGGAACCAGCAACATACACAATGGCAAGAAGGTGACTGAAAATTATAATAAAGGAACAATAGTGGGCCTATCTAGGTAAATGATGAAAAGTGACTTTGATAGAGAAGGCAGAGCACGGAGGAGGACATTGTAAAGCATGTATGCTTTCTCTTATACTCCCTTCGTCCCAATATCAGTGCCAACGTTTCTTTTTAAGTTTTTCCCAAAATAAGTGTCCACTTTTAAAAATATATAGTTATATCCATCTCCAACCGCTGTAAGAAAGAGTAAAAGTGTCATAATATAGCAAAAAGTAATATCCAACCGATGCTTTTAAGTGCTTTTTGGTGGGTCAAGAATAACCCACGTTCAAGCACACTTTGATGAACCTCATTTTAACTCAAATATTTATTTTGATATATGTTTTGTTTTAATAGGTTGAAATTTTAACAAGTTAAAATGTTGTAAGACTAAATACTAAATTAAGTGTGTTGGTATAATAAGATATCAAAGTATAAATTTAACTAATTTACTAAAACAATTAATATACATAAAAAATTATTATAGTTAAATAAAGTATAAATATATGTTTAACTAATTAAGTTAAAAGTTTTAAACTAATTAACATATTCAAAAGATGGTTATAGTTAACTGAAAAATTAATAAATACAGGTCAAATATATAAAAGTGCTATAATTTAGTACTAACTAGTTGGAGAGGATTAGTACTATTCTGATGAATAGTGTAAATTATTGCTAGATGGTCTAAAACTTGCTAAATTCCAACTCTACCCTTAATTATGATGCATGCATATTTAAGAGTTAATGAGATGGAGGGAAAGAAAGAGTGTTTACCTCTATCATTAAGGGTAAAATTGTCATTCAAATTTTTAAATATTGTAATAATCACAAATTTCTTAAACTGCGTGTTTTTTGTCGTTGATATTTATTTTGGAACTAAGGAGGAACTCAGTCGGCAAGCAAGAATGATATACCATAATAATAAACAAAAACGCATCAAAAAAAATTCTAACATGAACATGAAAAAATTGAGTAGTTGGCTTCATGAATTCAATTTATTGTTTTAAATAATTGACCTATGTAGACAAGTTTAAGCAAATGTAGAAGCTGGAAGAGATGGCCAAAAGATGCATGTAAATTCCACGATAAAAGCTAAATAGACCCTCTAAGACTCTAATAAGATTGTTGTTATATATAAGCTCACGCATACAAATGATATTTGTGTTGTTTATCCCAAAAAAAGTGTCCGCTTTCTATAGTTTCTCTCTTATACTCCCTACGTCCCAAAATGAGTTCCTATGTTTCTATTTAAATTTGTCCCAAAATAAATGCCCACTTTAGAAGTACATAGTTATAATTCCAACTCTACCCTTAATTATGAGGCATGCATATTTGAAGAGTTGATGAGATGGATAGAGAGAGAATGTTTGCCTCGATCATTAAAGGTAAAATTGTCATTCATGTAATTAAATATTGTCATAATTACACATTTCTTAAACAGTGTTTTTCATCATGAACATTTATTTTGGAACTAAGGGAGTAACTCAGCTGGCAAGCATGAATGATATACCATAACAATAAACAAACATCAAAAAATTCCTATGTGATATGACGAATTGAGTTGTTGGTTTCATGAATTCAATGTACAGTTTTAGATAATTGGCCTATATAGACAAATTTAGCAGATACATTAGATGGAAGGCGAAGAAGGCCTCCTTCTGGGAGGGGTCCGAGCCATCAGTGAGATACCACTCTAGAAGAGCTAGAATTCTAACCTTGTGTCAGGACATACGGGCCAAGGTAAGAGATGGCCCAAAATAAGAGATGGCCCAAAAGATGCATGTAAATTCCACGATAAAGCTAAGCAGAAATAGATCCTCTAAGACTAATAAGATTATCGATAAATGTAAGCACACATATACAAAAGATATTTGCGTTGTTCCAAATAAAAAGGTACCCTTACAAAAATATATTGTTTACATATATTTCTATAGTTATTTATTACCCCCACTAATTCAAATTACATCCAAGAATGTTGTTCTTGTTCAATCAAAGCCAATATGGGAGTATAGCCCAAAAAAGGAAGCTTGGAACTTTATCCCTAAGAAAGAATGATATTTCTTTTTCAGGTGAATGGAGAAGAAACTTAATTGAAATGGAAAAACTATAATAAGAGAGAGAGTTCATATTTTGTTACAAATCTCCAAGTAAGTTCCACACTCCCCTTCCACAAGTTATGCAGTTCTAATGGTAAACATGAATACATCATGTCAGTTTCTACTATCTTATCCAACTGAGATTCCAAAAGTACAAAACAGTAGTTATCTTATCACATTCAATATCACATTATCTCAACTGGGTTTTCAGAGCCACAGTCAAGAAATATTTTTACCTTAAAAATACTTATAATTTTGATATCAACAAAAAAGGGTGTTTCAAAGAGTTTTGGGTTTGAACATGATAATTGACATTGCATTGTCACAGGTATTACATTAGCTATACATACACAAACACACAGTGTGACGCCTCCCAGATGATAAATAGTATCTGACACTTCACTGAGAAAATGTTTGTTGGTCATTTACTCCATATTCTAGTTACGAATTATACACACAAGATAACTTATTGCCGTAACCATTATTCTGTTCAAACCAAACCATTAAGGAGAACTATCTCTAACATAAAAAGGTGTTTTTGGCCTTGTACCAAGCCATTTAGTTGTATCAGCCACTCTAATATGAAAATATCCTTTTGGCCACTCTACTCCATATTCTGAGTTTCTGACAGTTACATACAAACTTAGAACTTCTAGCCAATATACTTCCAAAAGTACACCATGAATTATTACATTCAAAGACCCAGTTACGAAGATGACCTCATGGAGGATCTTCAAATTATGGAACTTTTTTTTGGGAGGCTCTACGAACCTGCTTCAATTGGACCAATAGAGACAAGCCGCAAACCAGCAAATGCATCTGTATCAAGTGATACCTGGATTGCTTACTGCTTAGGTAAGTAATATCTTATCAGTGGGCAACCAGACCCTCTACAAAGCACCCAGAATTGTTTCCCTTGCTAGGATTTAGAATCTTTCGCATCCTTTAATTTGTGTTTTCAGATAAATCACCCTGAAATAACTGTTTTGAGAATTGACTGTAAGACAGACGACATGATCGGGTTTTCAGAAGAGGTGTTAGGGCTGCTCGTTGATCTCCTATCATATTCCATATTCACATTATTTCAACTGGGTTTTCAGAACCACGGCCAGGAAATATTTTTACCTTAAAAGATACTCTAGAAGTTTGACACCAACAAAAAAAAGTTCCTGAAAGAGTTTGAGGGTTTGAACGTGATAATTGACACTGCATTATCACCTGTATTATTTCAAAATGCTGTGACGAGTGTGCATTTTGTAGTCAATATGTTGGTAAAAGTGAGCAAAGAAAATTCTTATAGTAGAGTGGCAGGAAAAACAAGCTTGCTTAGCTTCTAGGAGAAGATGTTTTTGTTCAAATTCAGTCGCCTATAAATTGAAGGCCAATAACCAATTAGAAAACCGAACTTGATAAAGATACGTGAAAAGTAATAATGAAAATCAGTAGAACAGATGATGTTAGCGACTGACCCGTAAGTTCCTTCACCAATCTGCTCCAATTTTTCGAAACAGTCAACACTTCGAGATCCCCAGGTTGGGGATTCGGTCGTGTTCAGCTGTCCCGGTGCCGCCATAGCCATGGCTACGTAGTTCTGGCAAACGTCCGATGTTACAAAACGGAATCGGAGGAAATTTTAGGGTTATCGTGGGCAACAACTTATCTCGACTACTCGAACGATTTAGAGAAAAAGAATCTCTTTTATAGCAGAACAGAAAGTAAAGGCTACTCTTGTGTTTTGATAGACTCGTAAGTGCAATGTACATTGGTATATGGGATACTATTCCATGGGATACTATTCCAGGCGTGACAGCAAGAACTAATTATCTCATGTTTGGTGTGAATGGGACATGAATAAAAACGGGAAATAGGGAAAAAAGTATTTTTATCGGGGAAAGGCTAATGACATTCTTATTTTATATTAATGGCACCTTTATGGTTAGTTAATCTAGGGATAGTGATTTGGCCCGACCCGGTGGGGAACCCGGTTCACCTGACCCGGACGGGGACGGGGATTCCCCGCTAAACCGGGTACCGGGGCCGGGGATCCCCGGTTGAGGCAAACCGGGGTTGGGGCCGGGGCCGGGTATAGTATCCCCCGACCCGCCCCGTACCCKGTATATATATAAATATTAAATATTTAATTATTTGGGCTTATGTTATATTTTAATTATTTGGGCTTATGTTGATATTTTAATTATTTGGGCTTATGTAATTGATATGTCARAGTCCATCGTCTTCCATCAGTCCAATCCATACTCCATTGACTCCTCCATCCCTACCATCAGTCCATACTCCATCGACATCGACTCCTCCATCCCTAAAATTCCTCTCGACAGACGACAGTCGACGACTCTCCGCTCTCGTCAACACTCCAGTCTCCACTCTCCGCTCTCGTCGACTTCGATCTCTTCTACACCGTCGTCCACTCGTCCGTCGACCCTCGTGACCTCCACACTCCTGTCGGCTCACGCCTATCACCGTCACCACTCACCAGCGTCACCGCACTCGACAGGCGACACCACAGGCCGCACTTGACAGTCGACACCGACACCGTCACCGTCTCCGTCTCTGCCATCGAGGATTCGAGGTTAGGGCCGTAAACCCTTTGCTTTAAGTTCATATCATCATATGTTTATTGTTTATTAACAGTTA